ACTAGAGAAAAAGCAACAATAAAATATCATCCTTTTACTATAAAACTCAGACTATTATCTAACACTTTTACTTACCTTGTGCCACATCTCCACGTCTCTTTCAACGTTACACGATCGGTGATCGTGACATAGCGACAGACTCGCCGTTATAATCCCCAACAATTTGATGATGACTGTGAGATTCAAATTAACCGTGACAGAGCATTACCCCCTCCAATATTTTTCGCGAACAACAAACCTAAAGAAAGAAAAAGAAGATTGCCAGTAAGTACAAAAGAATCACAATTATGGATAAAGAACAGTTCCAACTACTTCTGAAAGAAATAACTCAGCTGCTAGGACATATCACAGGAGGAAGACCTGGGGCTCAGGAGGCGAATTACGTGAAGATTAGAACCTTGCCGGTAAAGAAGATGATGACCCGATTGAATAGATGGAAGAATTCGAGAGGGTGGCAAATGCGAACAATTGAATCAACAAACGAAAACTTCAGATTGCATCCGGATACCTGAGTAAGTTAGTCACAGACTGGTATAGAGAGCAGAGAGATAACATTAGAGAATGAAGGGATGAGGCACGAAACGACAAAAGTTTCCATCAACTGTTGATTGAGTATTTCGCGATCCCAGAGAAACAGAATCGATGGCAGAAAGAGCTTAATGAACTAGTGCAGGAAGAAAACGAGAGTGTAGCTCGTACATCACGAAATTCAAAAAGTTACTGACACGTGTTGATCCTGAGGAAAGATTATCACTTAATTACATAATACAGATGTTTTTGAGCGAGTTAAAAGGGAACATGGCAACGTTTGTTGCTGTAACATCACCAGACACATTACAAGAAGCAATCTCCACAGTGAGACGAGTAGAAGCTGGTGAATACTACAAGAGGCAAACATTTGGAAAACAACAGCACAAAAAACTAGAGGATAAATTGTGTAACATCGCAAAAAGGATATAAGAAATCATCTTGAATTACGTAGCGACAAGACCAACCGCTGATAGCAGAGACCGACAGCCCACTACTAGACCGAGAAGGGACGACAAATGCTTCCAATGTAGGGAGTATGGACATATCACCAGATATTGCAATAAAAGATCAGTGAATAACCAAGAACACCTAAGACGACCAAGGAGTATTAAACATTATGAATTAGAAGGAGATGACGACTACGAAATCGAAGAATATGACGAGATGTATAATACCAACGTAACCCAAAAAGTAGGAAGACCACCCAAGAGAAGAATAGAACACTCAAACGATGGTGAACAAAGAGCCAGAAGAAAACCAAACAGGGTACCACCAACAGAAATAGAGATCCATGAAGACAAACCGATAGACTTAGACTTGGAAAAAATTCCTAAGCCGCGCAGAAAAAGAGAACTGTCCGTAATAGATTCACTAATGTCATACAACATAGCCGATAACGTCCTTGTCTTAAAATCGAACATTACGTTGGGACAGCTGCTACTATCAGGAAATTTTTGAGCAGAGGAACTCCGTATATCTCTGCATATCTCCGCCGTCATTAGAGATCTCCAGAGTATTAACATATATATATATATATTTCGAAAATCTCCGAAAATTTATTTCCTCCGGAGATTTTCGAAGGTTTTCGCAAATGTTTATAATATTTCGAAAACCTTCGAAAACCTTCGAAAATCTCCGGAGAAGCTAAATTTTCAGAGATTTTTGAAATTTATATATGTTTTTTTGATACTCCGGAGATCTCTAACAACGGCAGAGATATGCGGAGTTCCTCCGCTCAAAAAATTTCCTGATGACAATATTCAAACCAATGCAGGAACCTAGCCAAAATATTGAGGAGACTGGTACAACAACTTCAAGAAACTAACTATGTTACATACAACCCAGGGGAATGAACAACAGCCTCCCAATGTTATGTCCAAATTAATTAGCAACCTGTAATAGCTATTTTGGATACTGGTATGGCCGTCAGTCTAATATCAAAGAAGCTGCTAGATAAGTTGAACCTTCAGATCAACGAAAAATCAAATATGGTGATCGTCACTGCGACAAGAGCCCAGGAGAGAACGCTGGGAAAAGTCAAAAATATAGAGGTTTCGGTCCAGAAAGTAGGGATCCCTATCGACCTACAAGTCATGGAATCAAGAGATGAAACGCTACTACTAGAAACAGATTGGTTCCAGAAATCTAAGGCCAGAATGCACTTTGATGAAAAGAAGCTATATTTATGATACACAGGGGAAACTATAGAAGTGCCGATTTCTTACCATGGTACGGAGTCCCTCTTGGAACCCGAGAGCGATCAGGAAAGCACAGAGACTGACTTATTTAATGAATTCGAATACAAGGAAGAAAAAATAGACGAAAGAGATGGTTACTATACTGACGACATGCTTTTGGACAAAGAACTATATGAGAACCCTTGGGAAGAAATGAAAAGTCCAGCAATATATCTTACTAACGTGGAGGAGGTCCCTACGCTAGAAGAGGAAAAAGAACCTGAATTAACCATGAAGGAACGAATCGAAAGTCTAATAGAGAAAAATACCGAGCTCGGAAAAGAGGACAAGGGCGACGTACGGGAGCTATTAAAGAATGAATAAAACCTTTTTATCGAAGGCCTTGAAGGGTTAGAACGAACAAGTGTCGTTAGCACACAATTGACACCGGAGATATCAAACCAATCAAACAGAACGTGTATAGGATGTCCCCAGATGAGAATGAATATGTGAAAAACAAACTGAAGTAAATGGAAGAACAGAACCTGATCCAAGCATCTGTTAGCCCGTGGACTTCCCTATCATCATAGTCCCAAAGAAAAATGGAAAAAGACGTCTATGCGTCGATTATCGAAAACTAAATATGGTGACAAAACGAGATGCTTACCCTCTTCCAAGAATTGACGACCTGTTGAAAACTTTTGGAAATGCCAAAATATTCTCTAACTTGGTCTTAGCCAGTGGTTATTGGCAAGTGGCCATGAGACAGGAAAACCAAGAAAAAATAGCATTCGTCCCTAAATTCGGAACGTACAAATTTAGGGTAATGTTGTTCAGATTGTGCAATGCTCCAGCAACATTCCAACGACTAATAAATACGATCCTACGTGAACACATCGGAAATTTCATAGCAGTATATCTTGATGACATCATCATTTACTCATAGACCATGAATGAATATGTTGAACACCTGAAGCAAATATTTGAGAAGTTGCGAAGTGCCAATCTAAGGCTCAATCTAGAAAAATGCTGTTTCTTCCTACCAACGATCATCTTTCTAGGACACGTAGTAGGAAAGGAAGGAATTAGGCCCGATGAAGCAAAAATTTCGAAAATACGAGATTTCCCGACTCCTAAAAATCTACGGCAACTCCGGGGATTTATCGGACTAGCCTCATATTATCAATGCTTTATACAAAAGTTCGCCACTATTGTACGACCGCTACACTAGTTATTACAAAAAAATGAACCATATGAATGGAAGAAAGAACAACAACACGCATTCGACATTTTCAAGGCCCACTTAATCAAAGCACATATATTGTGCTATTCCGATTTTAATAAAACATTCTACGTACACACTGACGCATCTGGGATCGGATTAGAAGTGGTCTTAGCCCAAACAGATGACAATCGCAAGGAATATGCGATCGCCTATACCAGTAGGGAACTAAATAAAGCAGAGAGAAATTACGCCGCTATGGAATTAGAATACTTAGCAGTAGTCTGGGCTGTAGAATACTTCTATCACTATTCAGGCTATAAGCCGTTTATACTCGTCACCGACCATTCCGCATTAAAATGGCTAGCAGGAACGAAACTCAAGAGATGACGCGCAAGGTGGATACTGCGGTTGCAACCCTATAACTATACTATTATCCATTGTGTTGGGAGAAAATACTCGAACGCTGACGCATTATCTAGGATACCCGACCCCAAACGAAGCAATAAGGACTAACTCGTGGGAATTTAACTCTCACGACATATATGTAACCCGGCAAATAACACTACACTAGATGACCAGACTAAAACAAAAAAAAAAATCCAATGTAAAGTTTAAATCCAGACCAGGTAGTCAGTGTCCTGGCATATTTTATTGAAAAAAAAAAATGAATCTGATACACTATCGTCATCTTAACAATTTTCTGCAATACCAACAGTTACCAAAAACACTCACACCTCGTCAACAACGCGACCTATAATTAAAGAGCTGCTTTTTCGTCAGTAAAAATAGAATATTATATAAAAAGGACAGACGAACAAAGGGATGACTCCTATGAGTGCTACAAAAGCATGAACTTGAACTAGTGTTATACCTGACACACACTCACTCGTTAGGGGAACACCTGAGAAAAGACAAAATGTTCAACAAGATTAGGGACCTATACTATTGGCCCCAGATGTATGAGGATATTCGAGCTTACGTACAGACCTGTAATCCATACCAACGTCGAGGAAGAAAGTGAATCACCGGACCTTATTACCCGATACCAATCAAGTTACCTTTCCATCAGGTTGGAATAGACATAGTAGGACCCTTACCTGTGACCCCACGAAGGAATCGATATATCATCATAGCAACTGACTATATGACCAAGTGGCCAGAAGCCTGAGCCATGGAAGCCGCTACCACACAAAACGTCGATGATTTTATTTATGAAGAAATAGTCTGCTGACATGGATGCCCTGAGATATTACTATCAGACCGCGGTACTCATTTCCGGAATTGTATGATGAAACTATTCCTGAAAAAATTTGACGTAAAACACCTCTTCTCGACGCCCTACTATCCATAAACCAATGGTTTGGTCAAAAGATATAATCAAATCTTATGTGAGACAATCGCAAAACTAGTAACCAAAGCAACTGACTGGGACACAATGATATCTTCCGCCCTGTTTGCTTATCGGACTGCGAGGCAAGCAACTACTAAGTTAACTCTCTTTTATCTCGTATATGGACGTAAGGCCCGATTATCTATTCAAGAGGAAGTACACTTGGAGAGAACTATACTACACCAACTGTTCTGCCTAATTCACATTACACCATCTGAAAGGGCCGCCACTGTCCAACGTGTCTGCCAATTACAATGATAAACAAAACAACAATGAGATCAATGACAAGACCTACGACACGATTTGTTTATAGATGATAAAGTGTTAATATACTGCGCCGCACTTGAATAACAAAAAGCTACAAACTAGAACCAAAATGGAATGGCCTCTACCTGATACATGACATACGATCCTGAGGAACCTACCAAATTCGGACGATGGATGGCCGAGTCATGAAGACACCGCTGAATCGAAATCTACTCAAAAAATACTATGAGCGACCCACGCCACAATAAGGGAATCGTGAGGATAGTAAGGAATAAGTATAAGAAGAATAAAGAAAGAAGAACGACACCTATAATGGCTCCCGATATTACTCGTATCATCCATGACCTCTTAGAAACCCAACCCGAGATGGTGCAAGTCGTAACCCCACCCTTAGGAGACCCAATGAACGTACAAGGACGAATGCATAGCATGTATCGACACTTATGTTGGCTACAACGTACACAACAACGTATCCAGTCTTTGGTATATGCCTACTATCTCGGAATGCTGCTTACTCAACAA